ACCATGTACTTGCTCATACTATTTCATGGATTATACTCTGAAGTAATAACGTTAATGAGTTTTCAGTATAGATTACACTTATAGGAACTATTCCAACACGAACTGAGGAACTTGCCGTTGAGTTTTTGTCATTGCACATCTCGGTTAACAATACCGCATCAATTTGATTTTTTTTCTCTGTCGTATCAATTTAGCTTTTTTTTCTTTCTATAAGCCTAGTAGCACTGAATATGATAACGCCCATTACAGCATGCCAGCGTTCTTGGAGGACAAGATTAATAACATTGTAATGATCTTTCGAACGGCTTATCAATTTTCAATAAGGCACCAGACAGGAGACTCCGCCATTTTCAATGGAAATTAGATATAACGCTGAGATTTCAAAGAATATGGCCCGGCAAATGTGAAGGTTGGATACTGTGTGGTATTATTTTTTGGGGGAGGAAGGCTTTGTTTGGTGAGGATATTGAAGACGAGAAACCATGCGTGCTAATTGTTACTGCAATTGATTTTTTTTTTTTTTTTTTTTTTTGAAAAATTGCGGCTTGAAGGAATCGTGTTTGTCTGTACTGTCCACAGCTAAATTGCTTTATAACGCCTCGTTACATCGTTTTCAGTCCGTTTATTTCCGAAAAAATGTGATAAATTGTCTTGAAACCACATCCTATTCGGCTCTGAGAGTTTAGAGCAATCCCCCTACCCCTCTCGCACACACGCTCTCTCTCTCTCTCTCTCTCTCTCTCTCTCTCTCTCTCTAAAGCTGAATGAAAGTTTATTTAACCTCAAATATTAAAAAGCGTTTCAACAATAATATACCATTAGTTACTGTTCCGAAGAGTTCTCCGACATCAGCTAAAATGCCAAAAACATTTTAGCGCAGCGTTTGTGTCTAATTTTATTGAAAGGTAGACATTGGAACTAACCTAAGCAAGATCGATGGGTTTTCCTCCTAAACTCGGAGCCAGCAAGTCCATTAAATCTTATCAAATAACTCGGCTTGTTTTCACACAATGGAGTTTCCAATCGTACTTTATGATAAAGCCAAAGAATCCAAAAAAGCGAAAACGCCTTCCCTTTTTCGATCAAAGGATTTGTGTTTAGCTTGAATGTTTTCCTATTCTAAAATGAATTTTGAATACAGCATGTTTATGATGTGTTTATATGGTATACATGTACCATTGCAGTCAACAGACTCAACAAAATTGTACTGTGCTAGGAACGGGGGTGCTCGGAGATAAAAATCGTTTCCTCGGCAAATATCATGTACATTTATAACAGCGGACTAATCTTACTTATAGCACGGTGACAGAAAACATGTTTGGTTTTGTATCTTTTCGTTCTTTGTACGTTTTTTTAAAGCATGAACTGACTGTACCTTCCTCTCTATCTGCCAGTATTTCGCAACTATTTCTGGATATAACCCTCCCCCCAGCCCCACCCCCACCCCCAAGTTAATATGTTCAGATTATGAACTGCCACCCCATGTTAACCCTGATCTCAAACATAAAGATGGACAATATTTGGCAATAATATTTACAACAAGAGTTTTATAATATTGCTTCTTGATATTAATGTGAATTACCTGAAAAGCTTCTGCTTTCCCGAAAATAGCCAATATGAATTGTTACGATGGATGCATGCCTTCTTCTTCAAACTGAATGTTCTTGTCTAACTAGCCTTCATGTTGCTGCATGCTTCTAAACCGATCAATCAATCGAATAAATCAATCAAACAGTGACATGCCACGGTTCTGAGATAAGTGATAGTCATAATAACCTTGCCTTCTCCCTTCTTTCCTTTATGGTCGCGACCACTTTGTGTGGCGTAATTCTAGTTCATCAATTTAGTGATTTTTTTTTCCTTCGACGCGTCCTGTTGCAGTTATTTCTGCCAACTATCTTATTCCCAAAGCGCGCCGCAAACCTTGGATTTTTGGTAAAACGTGCCACGTAAGCTGTCTACATAAGTATTGGCCTTGAGTTTCAATACTCTGTTTTTGAAGTGAAATATTCAACCGCTAAAGGCTAAAATGCGGGATGCGGGGTGGAAACATGGGATCTAAGTCAAATCAGAATACTTTAGCATATTATATTGCCGAGTTACATGAATGTACAGCCTTGGCGTTAAGTGTGGAATATTTAATTAGTTTAAAACGCATGTGTTCGTTAAATCTATTATTTATGTTTCAAACGTGTATCTCAAGTGAACAAAGTAAATAAAGAAATTTGTGGCTTAGACTGTCAGTAACAATTAACTGACTGCCTTGTCTAAAGCACTGCCGCATAACGTAATATGATTTCTTTGGAAAGTAGTCTTTTATAGATGGTCAAAATATGCCTAAAACTTTTTGACTAATGGTGTATGTAGACAATGACAACGTATGGAACCTTTTATTTTTTGGTGTTTCTTAAATTTCTTGGCTTATACACACCTGTTAGGACACATTAAAAATAATAGAATAAACTGGAATAAAGTGATAAGGGAAATAAATGTATTAAAATAACTCTGTTGAGCTGGGTATTCTGCATGGTATAGTAGAGGAAACATTCTATACTTTAGCTATAAGGGCGTGCCTGCAAGTTTTTCTGATACACATGTTTATAAATGTACCATATTATGGCACGTGTGTTTAAAATTCCAGAGATTTCCTGAACACTTTTCTTCTCCACTATCAGTTCAAAGAGGGTACACTCACAGCGAAGTATCGATCACAATTAAAAGTGACCAAGATACAATGGTTTCAAGGTGAAAAAGAAACGATGGGAATAAACAAATAAAACAAACAGTAGAAGCCCTATGTTATGATAAAACATGCTTAATGTCACCATGGATATGTAAATAATGGGTGTGCTCAAAATATACACGCACAGCAATTGTAACCCCTCAGTATAATATGAGAGCTAAGGTCTGCTTAGTTTCTGAACATTGGCACAAACAAATATCTTTTTGCAGAAATTTCCTTTTTTGCGATCTAGGAGGATAATTGGTAATGGTGCCTTTTATCCCACACCACCCTGCGGAGCCGTACGATATGGGTTGGTACTAAAACCACGAATACCCCAACTTACACNCGCCACCCTGCGGAGCCGGCGGAGCTTACGGAGCCGGCGGAGCCGGCGGAGCCGTACGATACGGGTCGGGACTAAAACCATGAGTACCGCCAGCGTACACGCTGGTGGTACTAATAACTTATATATCGATGTTTTGTCAGTGTCCCTAGCTTAGCAAAGCCAAAGACTGATGGCTCAACATTGTTCAGGCCTTACCAGCTTTATTGTATTGGTGCTTTGTTTTTTGAAGAGAATTGGAAAGACGTCTTGGATCCTTTTTTGTCTTTTAACCAATTTAAACTGTTTCAGGCAGTCACTTAAAGGCGTTTTTTTTATTATTATTATTCAAAACTGCCTATATTTATATGTTTTTCTCCTTTTCCATTTTAATCAGTTTACCGCTTTTGGGTATCACTGCACTAGTCTTTTTTTCGCTATTGTTAAGTTGTTTGGCTTTTTAATTGCACTTCTTCAATTCTTTTCTGCGATAATAAAAGGCTTTGTACTTCTCCATTGAAAGTGGCAAATGAGGTGCACAACAGAGCATCAGACGCCGCTCGCAATTAATACTTTTTTCCCTTTTTCCCAGCGATAGCATCTCCGATTTCGAAGATATCAGTGTCAAGTATCTTTTATTCATTTCCATGAACAATCAAAAGTAAAATATTCCAAGAAAAACCATAAACCTAAATGGGGATAAAGAGAAAAACAAATTGTCCAATTTACGAGAAAAGTGCGATCCTTATCTCTATGCTGGGTTTACACGAGTTGAAAGCTGGATTTCCCTTGGAACGCGCCCCGTTCGCACACTTTCAAACCAACCAATGGGAATAAAAACTCTAATTATGTTATGAATAAAAGGAAAACTCCCCGCATTCACCAATGTATTCCGTTATTTCTTCAATCTACGGTCAAAACATCAAAACGAACCTGGCGCGCACTCGACCTGAACCCCTTTCGGCTATGAAAATCCACAATTTAAACGACGTAAAACAAATTGTCTGTTTAGCGTCACAAAAACGATATCGATTCATTGAATAAAAAACCCTTTGTATGCGCCATTGCATAATGTGCCATCACCCCCAGGGAGCCATTGCAGTACAAAATAAGTCAAAAACCCAGTCCTACCAAGCTCGGCCGCAGCTTATCTCAAATATCATGAAATTGATTAAGATTGCAATCAAGAGTAATGGGAAACTTCTCTTTCAGTGCAAATTGCTTTCCTAACCAAAAGCGTGTATCTTGAATTACCATTGATTTGTACCCATGGCGTTATCTCCGATTTTTCATCTTTTTTATTTTTCATTTAAGGGCAAAACTATGGCTTTGATCTTTAAAGGAGATCTGGTCAATCATTCTAGGTTTCTGTTACTCGGTCGAGATCAAAGTTACGCTGCGACAGTAAGGCAAAGATGGATCTTTTCTATCTATTGAACAAATCCGGGTGGGTTTTACCCTACACGTGTCCTCAATCTCTGGGTGGTCACTGGATTTAAGTAATGTTTTCAACTAATTAACTGGACATCGCAGGGGGCGGATAAGGACATGGAGAGTTTTCTTAGTGCATTGCTGTTTTTTTCTCTGTTGAAAATAAGACTAAGAGTTACGCAGCTTGTTCAAAAAAAGCCAATATTAACACATTTATTTACCAGCAGCATTGAAAGCTGGTCATTCACACAGCGTATGGATTCAACATCAAATGCATATTTTAATTTTTTTAAAATACTTAGTATTACATAGTGTGAAAACTACCTATAACTTCAGTATCAGAGTTATCCATAGTTTTCATTCCAATTCTACTGGACGTTTGAAAACATTCTCTCCACTGATATACGGTGTGTAGAGACCCATTCAATTTACAATTGAAAAAATGGGTCAAACTTGAGTTATTTCTATGTCAAGCTAGAGAGAGACACAACAGATATGGTGCAGATACGACATCTAACCATATCGATCCAATCTACTCCTTTATTGTACCACAACCGCCATTGTTAAATCCACACTCATACACGATTGTGAAAACAGCCGAGTGTCATCAAGACATGACCTGCTGACCTTACACGGTACTGAATAAAACCGTCACAACTAAACTGTTGATTTGCTATGTTAAATCTGAAACCTTGAAGATGCGGAGCTAATCTCAGCAACCACAGAAAATTAATAAAACGTTACCATAACATTACGTTCTTAAAAACGTTCTTAAATGCTCTGTGTTTGCTGGGATAATTTCGTCCTTTTCCACCCATCATAAATCCTTGTTAAAATTAAACTGCTGCATTTGCTTGTGTTTTTTTAAGTTTATCAACAGCCATGGCAGTACATGTACTAGCATAATAACAACAAAATCTCATCATCTCATCTCATCAAACCTCACTTTCCCTAGTTTGTCTTCTGTTTTTTAAATACTCCCAAAGTGTTAGCGGTGATCTTAGTACTCTCACAAAAATGTTCTGTTTTGGCTGTTCTGCCTTTCTCAACTGTTTCATAAACTTGAGGTACTCTCTGTCTTTACAATCTTTGAATTCTTCCATTGGTGTGACTGTAGCTAAGCCTTCCCGCACTAATTCTGCATTGAAACAGTCCTTCTTGAAAGCAAACTGGAAGGAGAGAGAAGAAAAAGGTCATTTTCATGTCAAAATTTGTGATTTGCTTTTGATTAAATGTCTCTTTAATTTTTTTTTCTTTTTTGCGTTGGTATGTTTAAAACTTTCATTTATAAGTTGTACAAAAAATACACATTACCCTTTGGACGTAAAAAAGACAATTATCAACTTGTTTTGAATAATAATAATAATAATAATAAAGTTAAATGACAAAATCTAAGAAATATCAATCCTCTTTTCTCTTTATCACCAAATAAAGATGAACATTATCCGCAACTATTCAAATTGAGTTACAAGCCATCGTCCTGTTGAAGCTTCTGGTTTTTAAATGACTCTCAATGTGAAAATAAAAACTGAGAATTTCACTCTTGGTGTTAAAAAATGAAAAATTTGGAACTCCAAAGCAAGTCCATAATATGTTATCCTTCCAGAGGTGTGGATAAGGCATAACTTGGTGAAGTCGGAAAAATTGCTACCATTTCCACGAAAATTACAACATATAGCGCTTTAATTGTTCACTTCTTTACTTTTATTTCACCTATTTAATTTATTTATTTTGCTACATAAAGGATTCATAAACATTGTCTGACTTTCAACAATTTTTCTCAACAGGACCAAGAAAATCCAGGAAAGATGCAGCTGAATATTGCTGGCATGCAAAAACTCCGATCATGCTTAGCTTGAATGTGTTAGGTGTGACAGCGTGTGCTCAACTATCACAATGCATTACTATGACCTAATCACTTTGTACAGCTCACCCATGGGTTCCTAGTCTGTATAATGCAGTCCAGCGTGTCAGGATTCTCAGGGTTCACCCTCAACATACGGAACCATATATAACGTCTGTCACACTCCGCCTGGATCCATGGCACGCCCACAACCTCCTCCAGCTTGATACCTGCTAGCCTCACTTTCAGAAAACCTGGGTCTGAAAGAAAACAGTAAGAATTAATAAAAATAAGCTCATTCAATTCAAACTAGAGCAGATGTTGTTGTAATTAAAACATTGCAAATACCCTATTTTAATATTTTTAAATTGCAAAATCTGAAAGGAAACATTAATTACAAAAAAAAGATAATAAATAAAATACAAAAAAAAAAAAAAAAGATTACCCATCAGTTCCAAACTACAAAAATGTAAAAAAAAAAATATATCTGTAACTTAACAATTAATTTCCCAAGAAACTGGAAGAGTGAGTTAATGACTTCTATTGAAAATAACTAGATTTTGCTTCAACACTATAATACTGGTAGTATCTTTACATAGGCTGACAATATGGCTTTCCCTGGTCATAAGAAGGACTTCATTGGGCAAGTCAAATTTTCAACATGGTTTCCCACAAAAGCAAGGTTTTCATTTGGATCAGTCTTTCCCCTCACCAGGCTAATATTAAAAAGGTGTTAAAGTCTTGTCAATCTTTGATTTTTTTTATTTATTTATTTTTTTTTTTTGGGGGGGGGGGGGTATGTGGCTTGGAGTACACTTTCTTTTCAAAGGAGGATTTATCTTTTAGTTAATTCTGGAAGGGTGACGACTTAGAAAATATGTTGTCAGCCACTGCTATAATATATTTACAGATTTCATTTTTGTGGGTCAGACTGTTTAACACAAATCAAACTAAAACATAGAAATACAAATGATTCCTAGACCTACCAGATTTCTTCAAAACACCAAATCCTACAAATAACAATAACATGTCTTCTTAAAAATAACTGGAAATAATATAAAAGTTTCCATTCTGGCAACTTTTCTCCAAATGACATGTAACAGAAACTTGTACAAGCCAAAGTTTCAAAACTTGGACTCTTCACACACCAAGTGTTTCATGCCTGTTCTACATATAACAGGTTCTGATTTCAGCTGGCAATCATTTAGTCATTTGGCCAACTAAACATAAACTCCTTGAGAGTGTGCATCTGGGTACTCTATCAGATTTAATTGCATAATGCAATGAAACCTAATCTCCAACCATTTAATTCAGGTTAGTACAGAGATGATTGACACTGACTTCTGCCAANGTAATTACACTGTCTGGGGTAGTGCTACATGTAGCAATTTTTTTTCGCTTAGCCAAATCACCACATTTTTGTCAATTTGTTATCAAAATGTTTATAATTTGGCTAAAACATGTCAAATCAAGCCCTTTTCTTTAGCCAATTTAAGTCAGTTTTAGCATTTGGCTAAATTGGCAAGTGTTAGCGCCACCCCAGACTATGGTTGTTTACTTACTTACATAACACCAACATACCAAACAAAATTAATCTGTTTAAGGATATTGTTAGTCTTTGTCAAAAACTCCTTATTTACTGTCTTAAGCTTATTTACAATGTTTTGGATAACAGATAAATCTTCAGTGGTCATTGAACGATTGCTAGAGAAATATAAATGCTGATGTTTTGTATTTTCGAGGAGATTTTTATTGTTTTAATTCATCACAAAGACAGATACTTTTCTGAATAAACAGATGCAGGAAAACCTCATTTTTGGTATCGGGGTGATAAGAAAAGCTTACAGTGCCCTTTATAAGCCATGCCAAAGGTGGCGATTCTGCTTGTAGGCAACTCTCTTATGCATTAGCCTGGTGAATTTAATAAACTTAGAAGTTGTCAAATTCTCATTCAAGCTGGCCTGATACAGAAAAAGGTACAGCTTGATATGAAAAGGGCCTTACTTGATGTCAGTCGTAAGGCTTCAATCAAATTTCCGATGGGAATGTGTTCCACGTCTAACGTCCCATTGTTATGGCAATGTCTGATCTGACCTGCTAGCTGGACGTGGTTGTCAATGAATCTTTTTGGTATTTCTGACACATGACGAAACTGGCGAAACTAAAGAGAAAAACATATTTAAAATTTTGGTAACTGTGAACAAATTTTTGAAGCACTGAGAAATAACAAGAAACATCAATCAGTGTATAAATACAAATGGATGAGTTAAATACATTTTTCTACAGTAAATACCAAAAAATATTCTAGTTTCTGGAAAGTTACAAGTTACTTTGTAATTATACTAGTCCTGTTAAAAATGTAACAAGTCACCATACCAGGGATATACCCTTGGCTAGTATACTCTAGTTTCTGGTCAATTGCAAATTACTTTGTAATTTTACTACTCCTGTTTTAAAGATGTAACAAGTCACCAAACCAAATCTATACTTTTGGTTACATTCTAGTTTCTGGGCTGTTACAAGTTAGTTTGTAATTATACTACTCCTGTTGTAACAAATCATCATACCAGAGCTATACTTTTGGCTATAGTCCCCAGGGCCACTGCACCCACAACATACGGCACCAACTGCAAGTTAAAATAGAATAAAGGTCATTCCTACATACCACATATATTATAAATGTACATAAAGATTTATCCAGTTGCAGTTTTTCAAAACCAAGTAACAGAAAATTAAATACACTGGCTTTAAAAACTCTGGTGTACTGTAGCAGTGGTATGAGCATGTACTGACAATGCATTAGTTCAAGTTTCTTAAGAGAGAATGACAAAATGTTTGAGTTAGTATCACTTGTGTTTTGTGAAGGGCACAATAAAAGATTCCTTTGAAGCAACAAATATAACCCCAACATTCATACTAGTACTTGATTTGAGCTTAAGCTAAATAAAGGTCTACCATTATATTTATTGTACAACATAATGGAACAAACAGCTTGTTTTTCTAATTTATTTTATTTATTTACCCTGAACACATTCATGTGATCATCAACATAGATGGCACAGGTCCTGATGAAGTTGGTTGGGATTTCTTCCTCTTCATCATCGTCATCATCATCTGTCCGAGAGTATTGGGTGATATGCGCTGTAGGCCGGGGCTGTACCGGGGCTGCACTCAGCAGTCGGGCAAACATGACTGTGCAGTTGCCTAATGGGAAGATGAATGGTGAACATCATGTAAAAAGATGTTAGAAACAGTGTAATGGACTCATATGGGGATATATGCGCTAAGTTACGGCATTAATTAACTGACCATGCACAACACAACACAATACACAGCACAGAAAATATGAGAGAGAGAGAGAGACCGTCTCTAGCTCGTACAGGCACATGTAACTGGCCGCCTGTAACTTGTCAGTCTAGCGTAACGTTAACGCAAGGCATACACTTTTTTAAAGAAATAAACATAATTTCTGACAAATAACCATTAAGTGTAAAATGTTTAGCATATTCAAACAGTCAACTATGATAATTTTGCGGAGAAAACGTACCTGAGATGTTGTTGTATGATATAATTTACACATGCAACCTTGACCTTGACAGACTGCACGTTTTACCGCTTACCGCAAAGCGGCGGACTGTCGTGAGACTGTTGTTCTCTGAGCGGTCATTTAGATTATCTCAACGTGGAGCATCTGAAAAATAAAAGTTAAACAGCCTGTCTTCTTTGTCATCATTTGCCTTCAGATTTTACTCTAAAAAGGAAAATGGCAGCAAATAAAGCCATCACATTCAATTTATCCTTTATAAAATTTGTAACTTTGGCTTTTTTTGACATAAGTAGGGCGTGGGTAATAAAGGTACGTTGAACATGAATGCCTGTATGTAGGCCTACAGAACTAATTGAGTTGTTCGTATTCCAAAGATGGAGGCATCCTTTCAAAGTGAGTAAAATGGACTAAATTTTGATCCCAGTACGGGAATTAGTATCATTGGGGGGGGGGGGGGGTACGTATTGTACATGTAGACTGGAATATTCCCTCTGCCTTGGAATGCGGAAGTTTTGGAAATAAACGTTGAACTACAGGGTACTGGTGTATGTTTTTCAAATATGGGGGGCAACATCTCTTTACTTATCGTACGCTGCACCGTGGGGCCAAAGTAGGCCTATGGCATTTTCTCTCCACCAGAAGCCTTATACGGCTGTTTATACGTCTAACTACAGGTACGTGTCGATTGGGATTAAGGCATAGGCTACCTGTATTTACTATACAGATAAATACACCTACAGTGTATCCATATGTAGGCTACAGGCAGAGGCGGATCCAGGATTATTTGAATGGTGGGTCCCGAACGACAGGCCTCGGATGCTAAACTGACCAACGCCCCCTTGACGTGGGTTTCAGGGCCTGCTCAAGGCCCCCGAAATTTTTTGGTGTTATGGAGAGCAAACAGTGCCCTTTGGTACGGTTTAGAACAGGTGCCCCCCCCCCCCCCCCCCCCCCCCCCCCTCTAAACCTGCCACTATGTACAGGTATTATTAATGTATTGCAAGAAATTATTAAGTTAAGGGACGTTGAAAGCTAATGTCATCTAGATTGCGATGTTCCGGAGATACACTATTATAAAGTTACATTTTTAAATGCAAAAACAAAGATCATACTTATACCGGTATGTACATGTACAATTAATGAAGTGAAAGAAATCCAAATGGCCACCAATATAGGTCTACTAGTATATCCAATGAAAAGTATTGAGAAGTATTGATTTCCATATATTAGACCTATAATTTTGGTCACGGCACTTAAAACGTGGACATTAAAGTAGTTCCGATGCTATTTGATAGAACCAAAATTGTCGACCACAGCAATGAAATTTTAACAAAACTATAACTCTAAATTTTAAAGTATATCATGCTTCACTATAAGTTTTGAATTAAATATATCATAACGCCACCTAATAACAGGACAGAACATTGTTATATGAAATAGTCACATCAGAAAATTCAGATATACCAGGTAAGATCTAGAGATCTAGCATGCAGTGAGAGTAGCATTGGTGATGACCGATTGCCCTTAATTAAATTAAACGTGTAAAATTGAACCACTGGCATTTCTCAGCCCAGTGTGAATACGTACATGTACATATGATAAAGATTAACTGACACCAAAAACGATCTACATATGTACCAAGCACTGATCATGTCATAGTCTACAGTATTTTTGATATAGATAACACGTCCTATGCTGTTTATTTAAGTAGGACATTGACACATTGACACTGGACAGATGGCGGCTTCGTTAAAGAGTAAGTATTGAATCTGGAAAACAACACACACACACACACACACGAGCATCCATTCTCATATCTGTGTGAATTTTGTGAGCCACTCACGCATATGGCTGCATTAACTGATTTCCTACAATTGTCGATCATTGCAAAATAAGTTTCAGTGCACCGTGAAACCAAAGTTCACAAAAAGCATTTTGTCCGCGAGTCTTTTTTTTTTTTTTTTTTCATTACCATTTGGGGAATTCTTATATTTACTGATGGGGTTTAATTGCTAGTCCCTGTTTGATACAAATTAGGTACATGTATACTGGCTTGTTAGGCCAGCAGATTCGGTAAAACTGGTAGGTACATGTATGTTTACTGTAAGAGACAATCATTCCTTAAGCACTCACAAACATACAAATGAACAAAGCTAAATTAGATTGAATATCGTATGTACAAAATCATCTAACAACAACCACGTAGACACATACACTAACCAAACTTATTTACTTTACACAGCTGACCAAAGGTCGGGCCTTAGCTACGTCTACAAGCTGCCTAACCTCCCACAGGACAGTCGTATCATACCAGACTACCTAGATGACAAGGTCAAGGAACACCCGGAACGCCAGGCGGCGGTCTATTACCCAATGGGTGGTGGGAAGTCATGCATCACGTACAGGCAGTTACAGGACCAGTCAGTGCAATTGGCTGCAGGTACAGGTTTTCTTTGATTTATTTATTCATTTATTTGTATAATGATTTATTATTTATTGGATTTGGGTAATCTAAAAAGCTGCTAAAACCACAATTTGATGTAAAAATGTAGAAGCTTAGAATAACCGATAACATCAGTGTCATTGAAAAAAAGAAGCAAGTGACGGTTGTCGAAAGTATGTACTGTACAAAATGGTCCGCTGAGAACTGGACACGGCCGGCCGCATGTAAATATCTAAGAGTGTAAAACTTTTACCCAGCATTTGTTGACTTAAAGAAGGCGTATGACAAAGAATCCCCCTTACTCGCTCATTGATATCCCCCGTTACTCGTTCATGTCATTGGCACAGACCAGATGCAACAGTGTTTATTTATTTATTTATTGTGTTGTAGGTCTTATAAAGACAGGACTGAAGGTGGGGGAGTGCGTTCTGCTTATTGCACCAAATTGTTTGGAATACATCGTCATCGAGATGGCGTGCGCAAGAATCGGTGTTTGTCTTATATTCCAAAAGTTCGGTTCCCCGGCAACTGATGCTGTTGAAATGGCCAAATCCACGGGTTGTTCTGCCGTCATCGTTTGCGCTTTCGGCTCCTCTGCTCTATACGGCGAAAGTATCGTACAGGAATGGCAGAAAACTCCAAGAGATGGCAGCACCGATCCTCCCCTCGCAATATGCGCCGGGTTCAAAGCTACCGAAGGTAACCTTTCTTACGAAGACCTGGTCCGACCCAATGAATTGGCCAGTGCAGAAGAAATACACACCGTGTTTGAAGTTCAGAGCGCGGTTCAAATGGAAGATCCCTTGCTTGCATTAATGACATCTGGAAGCACTGGCAAGCCCAAAGTTGTCCTTTATAACCACTTCCAATTCATTAACGTCCTCCGAGCGTCTTGTTTCACGCTGCCAAATGTCGACGGAGCACGTTATTTTAACGATCGACCATTTTCATGGGCCGTTGGCGCGATGTTGGGTACGTATTTGATTCCGTTTTCTGGTATAACGCTTGTGTTCTTAGACCCAGAGATTTCTGTTCGTAAAGGAGACGGCGTCATGATAAGGAATATACTGCAAGATGAGAGATGCACACACGCCTTCCTCATGGCTTATATTATGTACGACTTGATTCACGCCGATGCCATACCTGAATATGGACTCTCGCTTGTGGAGTATGCATTAAGCGCCGGGCAGCCACTGGTAAAAGAAATGACGTCAAAGTTTATGGCGAAATTTCCCAACGTGCTTCTAGGACAGACATATGGTTGTACGGAGTTTGGCCCATTTGCTTTCCAGACCTATTCCATGGTTGCAGATACAGACCATGTCAGCTTCAATTGTCTGGAAATGGCACCGAATACTGAAGCAAAAGTTGTGAATAGCGACGGACGGTTGGTGACCAAAAACACGGTTGGGGAGCTTCTTCTTCGTGGACCACACTTATTTGAAAGGTATGTTACTAATGAAGAAGGGACCAAGGCTGCCTGCACTCCTCAGCATTGGTTTAAAACAGGCGACCTAGTAACCATGAACGACGACGGTTGCATCCGTTTTGTTGCGCGGATGTCAGACGCCATCAAGAGGGCTGCGGTTCTAATATATCCCGTTGAAGTCGAGATGGTGATATCTAAACACCCAGATGTGGATCAGGTCGTTGTTGTAGGAGTTCCTGATGAGAGATTCACCCAGGAGCTGTGCGCATGCGTCATCCTCACCCACAGTCCTGGATCCTCCGAGGAACGCCTGGATACCATTAAGGAATGGACGTCAGATCAGTTTCCGCCAGGTCCGGATGGCCTTTCTCTTTCTCCCAAATATTTCATCTCCTTCCAGGATTTTCCTAAAACAGCTAATGGGAAAACGAGCCGACGTGATCTTACAAAGATAGCAGCTGAAACATATGGATGTTGAAAATATGAACTTTCCTCATGGTTATCTTTTTGAAAAGTAGCCTTGACCTTGACAGAGTGCACGTTTTACCGCTTATCGTAAAGCAGCGAAGTGTCGTGTAGCCGTTGTTTGAAAAAAGAAAAAAAATAGACAACCTTACAGTCTTAATTAGTCATTCCCTTATGGAGCTCTGTGGTAGGAAATGGCATCAATTAAATTTCTAATGACTGCAAATTAAACTTAACTACTCTACATGAACCAGTTTACCCATTAGTACACTGTCACGTGTACTGTGTTATGATCATGGGAACATACCCGCACAGATCTCATTTGCTAGTTCACACTCGCAAGATGGAGACTCGGCTGACGAAGTACTACGGTAGGTAACAGTGTTTACGTGTAAAACTTGGACATACNTACGTACATGTACATATGATAAAGATTAACTGACACCAAAAACGATCTACATATGTACCAAGCACTGATCATGTCATAGTCTACAGTATTTTTGATATAGATAACACGTCTTATGCTGTTGATTTAAGTAGGACATTGACACATTGACACTGGACAGATGGCGGCTTCGTTAAAGAGTAAGTATTGAATCTGGAAAACAACACACACACACACACACACACACATACACACACACACACGAGCATCCATTCTCATATCTGTGTGAATTTTGGGAGCCACTCACGCATATGGCTGCATTAATTGATTTCCTACAATTGTCGATCATTGCAAAATAAGTTTCAGTGCACCGTGAAACCAAAGTTCACAAAAAGCATTTTGTCCGCGAGTCCGTTTTTTTTTTTTTTTTTTTTTTTTCATTACCATTTGGGGAATTCTTATATTTACTGATGGGGTTTAATTGCTAGTCCCTGTTTGATACAAATTAGGTACATGTATACTGGCTTGTTAGGCCAGCAGATTCGGTAAAACTGGTACATGTAGGTATGTTTACTGTAAGAGACAATCATTCCTTAAGCACTCACAAACATACAAATGAACAAAGCTAAATTAGATTGAATATCGTATGTACAAAATCATCTAACAACAACCACGTAGACACATACACTAACCAAACTTATTTACTTTACACAGCTGACCAAAGGTCGGGCCTTAGCTACGTCTACAAGCTGCCTAACCTCCCACAGGACAGTCGTATCATACCAGACTACCTAGATGACAAGGTCAAGGAACACCCGGAACGCCAGGCGGCGGTCTATTACCCAATGGGTGGTGGGAAGTCATGCATCACGTACAGGCAGTTACAGGACCAGTCAGTGCAATTGGCTGCAGGTACAGGTTTTCTTTGATTTATTTATTCATTTATTTGTATAATGATTTATTATTTATTGGATTTGGGTAATGTAAAAAGCTGCTAAAACCATAATTTGATGTAAAAATGTAGAAGCTTAGAATAACCGATAACATCAGTGTCATTGGAAAAAAAGAAGCAAGTGACGGTTGTCGAAAGTATGTACTATACAAAATGGTCCGCTGAGAACTGGACACAGCCGGCCGCATGTAAATATCTAAGAGTGTAAAACTTTTACCTAGCATTTGTTGACTTAAAGAAGGCGAATGACAAAGAATCCCCCCTTACTCGCTCATTGATATCTCCCGTTACTCGTTCATGTCATTGGCACAGACCAGGTGCAACAGTGTTTATTTATTTATTTATTTATTTATTTATTTATTTATCGTGTTGTAGGTCTTATAAAGACAGGACTGAAGGTGGGGGAGTGCGTTCTGCTTATTGCACCAAATTGTTTGGAATACATCGTCATCGAGATGGCGTGCGCGAGAATCGGTGTTTGTCTTATATTCCAAAAGTTCGGTTCCCCGGCAACTGATGCTGTTGAAATGGCCAAATCCACGGGTTGTTCTGCCGTCATCGTTTGCGCTTTCGGCTCCTCTGCTCTATACGGCGAAAGTATCGTACAGGAATGGCAGAAAACTCCAAGAGATGGCAGCACCGATCCTCCCCTCGCAATATGCGCCGGGTTCAAAGCTACCGAAGGTAACCTTTCTTACGAAGACCTGGTCCGACCCAATGAATTGGCCAGTGCAGAAGAAATACACACCGTGTTTGAAGTTCAGAGCGCGGTTCAAATGGAAGATCCCTTGCTTGCATTAATGACATCTGGAAGCACTGGCAAGCCCAAAGTTGTCCTTTATAACCACTTCCAATTCATTAACGTCCTCCGAGCGTCTTGTTTCACGCTGCCAAATGTCGACGGAGCACGTTATTTTAACGATCGACCATTTTCATGGGCCGTTGGCGCGATGTTGGGTACGTATTTGATTCCGTTTTCTGGTATAACACTTGTGTTCTTAGACCCAGAGATTTCTGTTCGTAAAGGAGACGTCGTCATGATAAGGAATATACTGCAAGATGAGAGATGCACACACGCCTTCCTCATGGCTTATATTATGTACGACTTGATTCACGCCGATGCCATACCTGAATATGGACTCTCGCTTGTGGAGTATGCATTAAGCGCCGGGCAGCCACTGGTAAAAGAAATGACGTCAAAGTTTATGGCGAAATTTCCCAACGTGCTTCTAGGACAGACATATGGTTGTACGGAGTTTGGCCCATTTGCTTTCCAGACCTATTCCATGGTTGCAGATACAGACCATGTCAGCTTCAATTGTCTGGAAATGGCACCGAATACTGAAGCAACAGTTGTGAATAACGACGGACGGTTGGTGACCAAAAACACGGTTGGGGAGCTTCTTCTTCGTGGACCACACTTATTTGAAAGGTATGTTACTAATGAAGAAGGGACCAAGGCTGCCTGCACTCCTCAGCATTGGTTTAAAACAGGCGACCTAGTAACCATGAACGACGACGGTTGCATCCGTTTTGTTGCGAGGATGTCAGACGCCATCAAGAGGGCTGCGGTTCTAATATATCCCGTTGAAGTCGAGATGGTGATATCTAAACACCCAGATGTGGATCAGGTCGTTGTTGTAGGAGTTCCTGATGAGAGATTCACCCAGGAGTTGTGCGCATGCGTCATCCTCACCCACAGTCCTGGATCCTCCGAGGAACGCCTGGATGCCATTAAGGAATGGACGTTGGATCAGTTTCCGCCAGGTCCGGATGGCCTTTCTCTTTCTCCCAAATATTTCCTCTCCTTCCAGGATTTCCCTAAAACATATAATGGTAAAACGAGCCGACGTGATCTTACAAAGATGGCAGCTGAAAAATATGGATGTTGAAAATATGAACTTTCCTCCTGGATAACTTTTTGAAAAGCATCTTTGACCTTGACCTGATCGTAAAGCAGTGAAGTGCCATGTCGATTTTGTTTGAAAAAATATATAATAAGACAACCCATTTGTCTTTTTTATTTTAATTTGCCATTCGCTTATACTGCTCTGAGGTAGGAAATGGTATCAATTAAATTTCTAATTACTGCAACTTGAACTTAACAACTCTACATGAACCAGTTTACCCATTACGTACCTGTACACTGTCACGTGTACTGTGTCATGATCAGTAGCATACCCGCACAGAGCAGTACCTGTATTTCTAACCCTCATGACGCAGATACAGGTCCTGGGTAATGAATGACGTAGTGTATATCTTTACACACCTTATTTGCTCCTTTACACTGGCAAGATGGAGACCCCTCTGACGATGAAGCAATATGGTAGGTACAGGTAACTGTGTTTACGTGTAAGACTGGGACACGCATTCGAAAGTCACCTTGGTTGCTCAATTGACGCACCTGCAAATCATATAAAAAGACTTTAGAATACTAAAATTGTCTAGCTTAAACCTCCTACCATGAGGGACCTACTACTTCGCACCGTTACACTACCTTGGACACCATTAATGATAAAGTATGACACTTGGCACGAGTAATTCTAGGTCTTAAATCCTCACTGTAAGCCCAGGACCTTCAGGACATTTTGAAATGATGACCATTAGCCATGTGTAGGAGAGGCTATGCGAGGAAGAAAAGAGCCATTGTTGGTTCACTATCCATTTTTTTTTCAAATTGTAAATGTAGGTCAAATCTTGTTGCAGCTGGCTTTACGTAATATGCGGGTGTCATATGTCAGATGTAAAATGTCGGGTATCAGTTTTGTTTATATTTTCTTCATTAATTCGTTTATTTATTTATTTAACTTAATTTTTGTGTAAGGGGAATAATATAAAATTTACTTCCTAATGAAACATATTAGGCTAGTTAAACAACTAAAAATAATAATAAAAGTAAATACATATATAATCGAAAATATTATTTTAAACTATAAAATATAATAGTGGAAAAATATACACAAATGATAAATGTAGCCGTATGGATATTTTATGTTCAATAGTGTTTGTCTTTTGTTTTGTCACGTGGGCGTCATATTACTTTCTCATTCTCACTGGTCATCATTCCCGCCTTTCTTCGTATATAAATATTGTCGCCGTCCTTACTGTCCTTCTCCTTCTCTCATCACTGTGTATATCTTTGCAGGTACGTGGTCGTAACCCAGCAGACAAACGACATTGATTCACCATTGAATCAACTTTAATGTTGGTGGATCAACGTTGAATCAGCGTTGGATCAATGTCGTTTGCCTGCTGGGAAGTTTTGTTAAATCTGTTATTATTATTATTATTATTATTATTATTATTATTATATAGTCAAACATCATATCTCTGAATAAGATTATTATTATGTTGATGAGTCTTCTTCTCTCACCACCGTGTGTATCTTTGCAGCACCATGCAAGGTCTTTGAATAAACGGATGGGGGGGGGGGGGGGGGGGGGTAAACAACCTGTTCACCTAACTTTACGAAATTGGCCTAGCACCCAGGTTTGTAACATTTCCGAAAGGTCTGTGGCAAAGAGCGTAAAGAGACATGTGGGAGTTTGTCCAGTTTTCCCAGTTAGTCTTATACCGTTTTATAGCAATAACAAAGATGAGAATTGTCATGTTTCATGAAATTCAGGCAGGCTGATTTATAACTCCCCGATGTTTTTGAATTTCTAATGTTATTATCAAGATCATTCCACAAACCTACTAGTATAGAGCCCCCTCTGATTCAATAATTTTAATTTTTTTTAATTTATTTATTTATTTATTTATTTATTTATTTATTTTTGCTTGCCACTAGGCAAATATAACTTTTGCAATGTCTTTTTAAATCAAATATTGACTCTAACAACTATACAATGAGTTAGATGAAAACATTAAAAAAGGAGCCTTAAACAACAGGTGCATGCTGGTATAGGTGCTTGTTACTTTAACGGTTGTAAATTGAAAAGAGACAAGAACAGACAAGACAACGAGGTGGTCTTCATTAAAAAAGCTTCTCTGTTTCAACACAGCTGACCGAAAGAGGAACTTCAGCTACGTGTACAAACCGCCTACGTTGCCCCAGGACACTCGTATTATACCGGATTACCTGGATGAGAGGGTCCAAAAGCATCCGGATCGAGAAGCGGCGGTCTATAACGCATTAGGTGGAGAGAGGTCCTCTATCACGTACAGACAATTACAAGACCAGTCCGTGCAATTTGCTGCAGGTATGGGTTGATCTGTTCGGGGGAAAACATGTTAAATATAAAATTTGCGAAAAAAAATGACATGAAGACCTTTAATTGAAAATCGAAAGCAGAATTGATACACCTTATTGTCGGAAATATCCTAAACGCATTTTCAAGTAAGAATTGCCTTTCTTATTTTTTATTCTTCCATATATTTAATTAAAATTTATTTCAGGTCTGTTAAAGAGGGGAGTAAAGTTAGGGGCATACATTATGCTTGTGGCGCCCAATTGTTTGGAATACATCGTCATCGAGATGGCGTGTGCGAGAATAGGCGTTTCCCTCATACTCCAAACCTTCGGTTGCCCCCCAGAAGATGTGGTTGAAATGGCCAAAGCTATGAGTTGTTCTGCCGTCATCGTTTGCGACTTGGGCTCCTCCACTTTATACAGTGAAAGTATCGTACAGGAATGGCGGAAATCTTTAAGAGATGACAGCACCGATCTTCCCCTCGCAATATGCGCCGGGTTCAAAGCTACCGAAGGTAACCTTTCTTACGAAGACCTGGTCCGACCCCATGAATCGGCCAGTGCAGAAGAAATGAAGAGCGTCGTGGAAGTTCAGACCAACGTCCAAACGGAAGATCCCTTCCTTATATTCATGACATCTGGAAGCACTGGCAAGCCCAAAGCCGCCATTTATAACCACTTCCAATTCATTAACGTCCTCCGAGCGTCTTGTTTCACGCTGCCAAATGTCGACGGAGCTCGTTATTTTAATGATCGACCGTTTTCATGGGCCGTTGGCGCGATGTTGGGCACGTATTTGATTCCATTTTCTGGTGTAACACTTGTGTTCTTAGACCCGGAGATTTCGGTGCGTAAAGGTGACATCGTCACGATAAGGAAAATACTCCAATATGAGAGATGCACACACGCCGTCTTCATGCCTTATATTATGTACGACTTGATTCACACCGACACCATACCCGAATATGGACTCTCAATAGTGGAGTTTGCAATAAACAGCGGACAGCCATTGGTAAAAGAAATGGCGTCAAAGTTTATGACGAAATTTCCCAACGTGCTTCTGGTACAGACTTACGGCAGCACGGAGTTTGGTCTCATAGCCTACCAGACCTATTCATCGGTTGCAGATACAGACCATGTTGGTTTCAACTGTCTGGAAATGCCACCGAATACCGAAGCGAAAGTTGTAGACAGCGACGGTCGAATGGTGAAGAAAAACGCGGTTGGGGAACTCCTTGTACGCGGACCGCGGGCATTTGACAGGTACCTTAATAATGAAGAAGGAACCATGGCTGCTGTTAATCCTCAGCGTTGGTTGAAGACCGGCGACCTCGTTACCATGAACGATGGCAGCTGCGTCCGTTTTATTGCGAGGATGTCAGACGCCATAAGGAGGGCTGCGGCGCTAATATATCCTGTTGAAGTAGAGATGGTGATATCTAGACACCCAGATGTGGATCAGGTTGTTGTGGTAGGAGTTCCTGATAAGAGATTCTCCCAGGAGTTGTGCGCATGCGTCATCCTCACCCACAGTCCTGGATCCTCCGAGGAACGCCTGGATGCCATTAAGGAATGGACGTTGGATCAGCTCCCGCCAGGTCCAGATGGCCTTTCTCTTTCTCCCAAATATTTCATCTCCTTCCAGGATTTCCCTAAAACAGCTAATGGTAAAACGAGCCGACGTGATCTTACAAAGATAGCAGCTGAAACATATGGGTGTTGAAAATATGAACTTTCCTCATGGTTATCTTTTTGAAAAGTATCATTGACCTTGACAGAGTGCACGTTTTACCGCTTATCGTAAAGCAGCGAAGTGTCGTGAAGCCGTTGTTTGAAAAAAGAAAAAAAAAATTAGACAACCTTACAGTCTTAATTAGTCATTCCCTTATGGAGCTCTGTGGTAGGAAATGGCATCAATGAAATTTCTAATGACTGCAAATTAAACTTAACTACTCTATAGCTACATGAACCAGTTTACCCATTAGTACACTGTCACGTGTACTGTGTTATGATCATGGGAACATACCCGCACAGATCTCATTTGCTAGTTCACATTCGCAAGATGGAGACTCGGCTGACGAAGTACTACGGTAGGTAACAGTGTTTACGTGTAAAACTTGGACAAACGCTCGAAAGTCACCTTGATTGCTCCATTGACGGACCTGCAAAGCACATAAAAAGACTTTAGAATACTAAACTTGTCTATTAAGCCCAGGACTTTCAGGACATTCAAAATGATTACCATTAACAGTGTGGGGAAGTTAAGCGAGGATGAAAAAAGCCATTGTTGGTTCACAATCGTTTTTTTTTTTTTTTTTTTTTTTTTCAAATTGTAAATATAGGCCAATTCTTGTTGCAACTGGCTTTACGTAGTATGCGGATGTCAGTTTTGTTTATATTTTCTTCATTAATTCATTAATTCGTTTATTTATTTATTTTACTTAATTCTGTGTGGAAGGGGAAATATATTAACCATGAAATTTTACTTCCTAATATATAACATATTAGACTAGTTAAACAACTGAAAATAATAAAAAAATACATAAATAATAGAAAATATTACGTTAAACTATCAAAATAGTAGTGAAAAAATATACACAAATGATAAATGTAGCCGTTTGGATATTTTGTGTTCACTAGTGTTTGTCTTTTGTTTTGTCACGTGGGCGTCATCTTACTTTCTCACTGGTCATCTTTCCCGCCTTTCTTCTTATATAAATATCGT